GGAGAATCGGCAGGACGGGGAGATTGCCCGAGGGCAAGGAACGGGTCAGCCCAGAAAACAGGAGCCTGGCTAGGGAGAAGGTTTTAAAGATGTTCGTGGGTTGCCGTGCGGGGCTCGCTGGTGGCTGCTGCTGGCCCTGAGTGACTTTGGGAACCCTGAACCACGGCGGGTTCCACCCTGGGATTCGTGCTAACAGGGAGCTGCACTACAGGGACTGCTCCATGTTTTCCATGTGAGGTGAGCCCTGCTCTATGTTTTCCATGTGGGGTGAGCCTACTCCATGTGAGGTGAAGTGAGCCCTTTCGCGGTGCCAGTGTGAGCGCAGGAGGTGCCCGCGAGCGCCGGCGGCTGTCGGGCAGCGTGAGGGGAGTGCCCGGAGCAGGTGCAGCTTCGGTTCGTGTTCAAAAGCAAACAATTCAGTGTAGAATGAAATAGTTCATTCTCTTTGGAATAGAATTGTAGTGCCTTGTCTTACCTTTCTTATGATGAGAACTGAAGTTTTATCCATGGGATGCTCTGTTGAGTTTAAAGCTGAAATTTAGTTGGTTTTTAGACGGCTGACTACTTGCATTTTCTCTAGGAAAGTGTGGGAACTTTGGGGTAGCTGAAGGATTAAATCTTTTGTGTGCTAAGATTTTGCTTTGAAAGCTAGGGTGGAAAATTCAACTATAAGATGAGAAAAACTTGGAGCTACCAGGGACTGGAGCGGTGTGAAGGTTGTGGCCTGCATAGGAATGGCCATGCTTCCTTTATCACTGTAGCAAGTGAGAGGCTTTTCTGTGTGGTTAAAGTTTTCATGGCATGGATAAAATATAAGCTACTAAGTAATTTCTAGAAATGTGATTGGAAATATGGCTTCAGTGATGAGGACAGAGCAACTTCTTGGTGTAAATGGTTAAATGGTGTAGGAATAAGTGCTGTGTTAAGCTAGCTCCTTGGTGGGATAAGATATTCAGGATAAAGGATTACTTAACTAATGCTCAAGCTGAGAATTGGATTACTCAATAGATGGTCATTGTACTAGATGATTGCCACCTGTGTTAAAAGTCATCAAAAGGAATTGATTGCTTGTGATTATCTCTTTGTACTTTGTTTCCCCCTTGGGCTGCGAGGGAAGGTAGTGGGAGAAGCTACAATACAGGCTCTTGTTGAAGGCACCTGATGCTGCCGGCAGCCTGCTTTTCTGGGCGCAATAGCTCTTGAGAAAACTGGGGCTTCCACAAGGCAAATTTGCTATATTTTAGGTAGGAAACTAAATGGATTGGGTGCAATTACCCTTTCCATCTGCCTTTTCAGTCTCACTGATGTGTATATGCCAAAGGTGGATGTTGGTGATCTTCAGGAAGCACTCAGGTGTGTCAAGGGCCTGGATTAGTACAGAATTAGTACAGGTACTAATTCTGTGCCTAACAGTGGCAGGTGCTTGGTTTAATTATGGACAGAATGTGAGACTGTACAGGGACAGGAGAGGAAGAGTGTGAAAATGTGTCTGGCATGAGCTCATACTGGGTTTGTGTGGCTAAAGTATGGTTGAAGATGCTACAGTTTGTCTAGAAAGCCTCTGGAGAGGAGTGAATACACAACAGCTGGTCTGAATTCAACTTGATTGCCCTTGTTTAGCTCTTCCCCACCCCTAACGCCTCTGAGGCAGACGGGAAACATCCAACACACGTGCCCTTGTGACCTTCAGTGAACTCAGCAGAGGGGAGGATTACAAGGCTTTGTTGTAAGCATGTGAGTGTTGTCAATGGTCTGATGAAAAGCCTGTTTCTCCCCGTTATTAGGGATGCAGTTTTCTTCACATCAGCTACCTTTACATGCAGAAGTGAATTTCTACTGTAGTGACAAAAAGGCTGATGCAGTCCATGTATAAATGCTATAAAATGCTAAGCAGGCATGAAAAGACTCTGCAGCCTCTGCATTTGGCAGTGATATAATTGCTATTGGAGTATCAGTGCTTGCAGTCTAGAAGGAGGCCAAAATTTGGGAGGTTTGGAGAAACCCTTTTGTTTTTGTCTCAAGGACAACTTCACCCTGATAGTGTATCAAAGCAAAGTCAGAAGAACAACGTGGTCTATAAATTAAATAAATGCAGGCAGTTGACTAAGTTGATAGAGAATTAATCAGTCAACTCAGCGGACAAAATACAAGAAAAAATTAATTTTACAGTCTAATAGGAAGCAATTTGCACAAAGTTAGGAATAGATACTTAATAATTTATGTAAATTAATTGCTCTTGGAAGAACTTACCTTGGGTGACAATTATGTTATTGAAACATCTTATAGTCCACTTAGGATGGTTTCAGGAGTATCTGCTGTAGTTCAAGTAGAGGTATCATATGTGGAGCTGTAATATAAGGATGTCTCATGGGCTCTGAATGTGTGGGCCACTGGGCTAAAAAATTATAGAGGCTACTCTGATCTGGGGGGAAAAAAGGAACCATTGTGACGTATTTCCTTAGCTGAGCTGTGAATGGGACCACATACTGCATCAAGTGGGAGAAAAGTGCCCTCTTAGAGGTGAAGCCAATCTGCAGGATCCAGTGCTCTGCTTAATTGATTAACCAGCACCAAAGCACTGCCTGAATGAGGGAGGAGAGGAAGTATATTTTTGAACTGACAGATCCCTACTTTGAAATCCCTTAGATCAAAATTTTATCTATAATTAGCAAAAGGCATCCATATGGTGACTTTTCCAGTCCCAGATGGGTAGCTGTCATTTCGCACATGATCTTTGCTTCTCTTTTGAAGTAGAAATGAGTAATCTTGGAAATATTAATCTGACTTCAACTATATTTATCCTTCTATCAACAATGATGACACATTTTGATTTCTTTCTGGGTGTGCACAGTATGTGCTGCGGTGCTGAGGATTCCAGTTGCTGTAATTTTCAGTGGAAAGAATAATGAACACAGGGAACTGTAAGTAGGTTATTATGGACTGTTTATGTATTTAAATAGAAAAGCCAAAATTTTCAAGAGTAATGATGCAAAGATGTGCCAGACTTGAAACTCTGTTGCAGACCTGATAGAAGATGTTCTGTGAGTGCTGGAAATTTGCTCCCCCTCTCAGTGATGTGTTACCTGGCACAGTAGCAGCTGTACATCTGCTCCTGCCTGGCAGGTGACTGCTAGGAATAGCTATGCCAGAACAAACAAAAAAGTAAAAATAATTTACTGTGCCAGAAAAGTTTAGATATCTGACTTACCTTCTTCTCCTAAGTACTGCAGTACTAATCCAAAGCATGGATCCTTCTGCCTTTTGAATGCAATTTATGTCATGCCATAACTTGTGTGTTTAGACTTCCATTTTATTTTTTGGGTGGTGGGAATTGGAAAGTAATTGTCTGTGTAAGGGGATGGTATTTTGTAGCAGGTGCTGGCTGTGCATGTCCTCCCTCACTTTACAAAAAATCTCAGTTTCTTGAGCTCAAGTATCCACGTAGAGAGGCCAGCAGTCTCTGTAAGCGGTACAAAACCTTGACATTCCTCTTGGTAAGCATTCTCCTTAAAATGCAATCTTATTTTGGAGGGGAAAAAAATGTTACAGTACAGATTTTTGTTACCACAGGCAGAGTCAGAAGCAAGAGGCCAGATCCAATCAAATGAAGTAAATGGAATTACCCTGAATTTACTCCTGTATAAGTGAGAGCTTGTTTCAAGCCCCAAGCTACATGAAAATGATTGCTGTTCTCTTTGCCTGTATGAAAGCTGACATAAATACAACCTAGAGTGAACTTATTTAGCAAGTGATAGGGTACATTTTTTCATCATGATTAAAAGGCCTTAAGAATTCAAGTCTCAGATGTTTGAAAGTATAAAGGTGCCTGAGCTTTGTTAAGATCAATAGGAATTAAATGCTTAAGTGACTCAGGCCTAGGTATCTGAAAGCATTCAGTAATTTCTTAGCAGCTCAGTGATCATAGGTCTTTCTTTTCAGTGCTGTCCTTGTGATAAAATTTGATTTAACTTTTTAAAAAAATACCTGTGAAGCACAGGTGATGAGAATGAATGTCAGAAGCTTCTTTTTTAGATTAATGTATTTTACAGGCAATTAATACTTTAGTGTTTCTAGCCTAATACCAGGTGAAATTTTAGTATCATTATAAACTTCACTAGTATCTATTTGTGAACTTTGCAAGTATCTGCAGGGGTAAAAGACCTGAAAACGAATTTCATTACAATGGTGTGGAACACCTGCAGTCAGTGAGGAGAAACCCCACCCAGACTCCCAGGTGCAGTTGGAGAACAAGAGTCTTGTGTTCAGTTGAGTTACAACTTCTAAAGCATCCAGTACTTCATAGCTTGGGGGTTTTGATTTTTTGCCCTCAGTTGTTGCAGATGTCAGAAGAGAATTTTTGGTTTTCTATCAAGGTTATTGAAACCTTTTCTGTGATTTCAGCCCACTACTTCAAGTTCCTTTTCTGTTTTGCTTTGGATCCTCTTTTGACATTGCTGTACATAAAGGTGAGGAGAATGCCTTTGGAAACAAGCCCACATGGGTTAGATCAATAAGAAACCAGGAGGAAAACACAATTGTTGTGGTCTGCATATCACAAAACAGGATGAAGAATTGTGTGCATCCAGTGATGAAGTAGCTTGCTAAGTGATATGTGGTTTATTTTGCTCCATGTTTTTTGCAAGCTGGTGATGATTAGATATCAAGAAGGAACTGGAGGTTTTACAGATACTCAATTAAATAACCTAGCATTTAATATCTGGTAAGTTTAAGTTTGAGTTGAGGCTCTGAATTCTTGATTAAGTATGTAAACCTATTAAATTTTTTTGTATATGTACTTGAAGAACGTGTCACAGATTTAAATATTGTGGCAGAACCCAGCTCCAATGGGTATAGAAATATTTGCTGAATACTTCTCATTCTAATAAATCATTCACAAATAAATTAAGCCACAGCTAAACTGTAACTACGACCAAATGACTTGTGGCCCCAGCAGTGTTCAAATCTTTACTTCTCAAGAGACTCTGGAAAATTGAAACAGTAAAAATTATTATTCAGATCAAATGGTGGATAACCAGTGGAAATATTTGAATTATAGGGTTTTCAAAAAGAACTGGGGAAGGTTTCTTCCTCCACATTTTTACCTTAAAACACATGTAAGGTTCAGAATATTAACACTTGACATCTGCCAAATTTTCAGGTTTGACTTTTGAATTTGAGGATTGTTATAGGTTCTCTCTACTGACTTCCCTTCCGTGGGAGCCTAACAAGTACCAGTG